CGTTTAAGGTTATGTTAGATTATACTTGACATATTCCTTTGTAATTTCATTGTGCGATGTTGCCGGATGAAACATGTATCAAAATAAAAGTGCAAACTATGTTAACATACACTATAAAGCTCTTCTTTTCTCTAATTTGAGGCGTTGTAAAACACTTGACACTATATCACTTCTTTAATGTTATAATGTTCGATTCGTATTTTCTACATTTGTTCTGCAACAATACAATCTGGCTACACGGCAGCCACGAGTTGCGCGCGCATATCTCTTTTTCTATTTTTGCGAGATAGGTCTCGTTCAGGATTTTGTAAAGAATAATGAGTAGGGCGTGTTTCCGTTTCTTCTCAAGGCTCATCATCCCACACAGCAATAGTCTGGTTTCATAAGGTATTCCAGATGAAGGAAAGCGGTGTTTATATAGTAGAAATTTTAGAAACCTGTTTTGGACGTTCTCTAGTCTATTAATATGGATGGTATAATGTGGGGACCAGATGACGGAGCAGTATTCAAGAGTGCTGCGTACAAGGGCGTTGTAGAGACATGTAAGTGCCTTGGTGTCGTTGATATGTTTGGTATTTCGCTTAATGAAGCCAAGCAATCTTGAGCGTTTGACAACAATATTATCGATGTGCATTTTTAATATCAGTTTTTAATCGAACGTTACTCCAAGATCGTTAATGAATTCCATATTATCAATTTTTTGACCACCAATCTTATTTGTTGACATGTACTCTTGTGGAATGTTATTGATTTGCATTTGGATACGTTGATTTTCAGTAGGTTTGAAGAACACCAAGAGGCAAATCTGTCGAGATCTGGTTGCAGTGGGTTGGAAAGTCCTTTACTAACATTATAAAATTGCAGGTCATCAGCATACAGGCGAAAGTGCGAGGAATGAAAGCAGGAGGAAACATCGTTGATAAATAACAGGAAAAGAACAGGTCCCATGTGTGATCCTGGGGGAATACTTGAAGTGACCTTGATGTTTTTTGACGCCTAGCCGCACACTTCAACCCTCTGGGTTCGATCTCCAAGATATGATTTGATCCATGCTAAATAGTTTCCAGAAATATCAATTGCTGATAGATTTTTTCAAGAAGGAGGTGACACACGCCATCAAAAGTATCGATATTCCACGGTAGTTCTCGACATTGCACCTATCTCCAGACTTGAAAACGGGAAGAAGGGGGAAAAACTGCCACTTTTCAGGAAAAAGGCGACAATCCAGAGATCGTTGAAAAATAATGCAAAGTGGTAAGGCTAAGGAAGAAGAGCACAGTGTTGCCAGATCTCACGATTATTCGTAAGATTACACGATTTTGGCCTCAATTTCACGATCTCACGAATGAGGTAGCAATTCTTACGAATTCTCTCTGTAGTAATACAAATCAGTAATCAAAATAATGTAATCGGAAATAATCGAAATAAAAATCTACTATACAATATTTAGTTATTTTAAGCCGCTCCTGGTACATGCGAGCCCAAGAACACTTATCCCAATAGCACAGCATATACAAAAACAATCAGCAGGCTCTCGAGCTTTGTATCCCAAAATTGCGGCGTGCGCAGATGCGATGGGCGTTAAATCTCATTGTTCTGCCATTTAAAGATAGGCTGTATCCTCGAATGGCAGCGTGCGCAGAAGAGATGCGCGTATGAGAGTTAACCTACTGTCTGTTTTTGTATATGCTGTGCTAATAGGACTGCTTGTAGAGCTAAAAGTGTCTGTGAAGTCCACGAGACCCCAATATTTGTGATGTGACGTCAGCTGCAGACCTCAACTCTTGGCAGAAAATGCATTATCCGAGTCCAAAAAACGAATTAATAAACATTGAAATCGCCTTTTCTAAATTTAAAATTCCCAAGAAAATTAACTCACAAGCACAGCCTGAATCGCAAGCAATCCATCAAGGTCTGCGGGTGACGTTTCCACTATCAGCTGCTGATAGTGGTGACGTCACTCGCAGACCAGCTGCCGACGTCACTCGCAGACCGTACGCCTCATTAGGATACGCAATTCTGCGGATAATGAAAACGAGGTTCAGCTCTCTAGAATACCTGCTAGAAAACGGAAAAAACAAAGATACAAGATTTAATAATAAAATTTCTAATCTCTTATGGATGTAAAATCATATCACTTTATCAAAAATGTATAAAAGAAGATTGTTGTGCAATATTGTGCATTATTTTATTACAAGCAATTTCAAGTCTCACGATTTCTCACGATTTTTCTTTCTCGATTCTCACGAATTTTTTAAATTTCATCTGGCAACACTGGAAGAGTAACCTTTCAGAAATATAGATGGTATTCCGTCGGGACCTGCTTTTTTGGACATGTCCAGCAGATTTGACTTGTCTGTAATTTCCTGTGTCTGGAAGTTATGAGATGATAGGGTAGTAGCAATCTAGACAGGTTCAATGGATGTCATATCTAAGTCATCGTGGCTGGAGTAAGATGCTTGAAAATGCGAGGCGAATGCGTCAGCAATAGAATCAGATCAGAGCCGTCCAATGTGCAATCTTTGTACTTCATCTGTATCGGAAGTTCGAGTTCCTCTTTAAATTATTGATAAATGACCAAAAATGTTTGACATTTTGAGGGATCAGGTGCTCAGTGTTGGTAACATATAACAAGTAGCATATGTCAATGCGGACTTTAGTCTCACTACAAATTTTAGTGTAGGCTTTATAGTCACCTTTCAGTCCTGATTTCTTGTATTACTTATATAATCAATTCTTTTGCGCCATGCATTTACGAAGTCCTTTGTCATATCATTTACGATATTTATCGCTCTTTATTTTCTTTGAGACTGAAAGGTTAAGACCCTAAAAAAGAGTTTAATAGAACAGAGTGATCATTGTATCAACGTCGGTTATTGAGGACAAAAAAGACCAGTTTGCCTGCTCATAAAAGTGATTAAAATCCGAATAATTGGCACGATGAAAATCAAATTCTTTGACCTCAGTTTTGACACTTAACGTCTTGATCTGTCCCAGGGAGAAACAAGTTTCCATGGCCGGGTGGTAAGCATCCATTGCCACCAGAGGGTCAGCAGTGGGTGTGATGGAGAGATAAATGAAGTCATCGACAAAAATTAGGTCCAGGGTTCTGCCCAGATGATTCTGAACGATGTTCATCTGTTGCAGTTCAAGAAAGTACATGGTATCCATGAGCACCTCGGCACAAGCTGATGATAGTTCTTTAGGCACTATTGTGTCGTCTTCAAATACCCATTTAATTGATGGTAGGTTGAAATCACCAAATATAAGAAATCTGTGTTGAGAATAAGTATTTTTAAGAGTTTCACGGGTGTCACAGAAAGACTGGTAGCAATCAACCTTAGAGTTGGGGGAAAAGTAGACACATGTAGCCAACAATGAGTTTACTTCCGTCGTAATCCAGCTGAACCCAAACATCCTCGTAAAGGTTCGTTTGAGATGTAGAGATACCTGAGGAGTAAAGGTGCCCCAGTGTAGCAATTAGTACTCCGCCCCCACGTTGACTGCCCAGCTCATTATAGTTCTTATCTCTTCGAAAAAGTGTGTACTGGGAGTTGAGTAATTCAGCGTTGTAGAAAGTGTCATTCAGCCAGGTTTCAGTTAATGGTATTACATTACGACGAAGTTACATGCGGACGATGATCTCATAATTGCGTCAGATTTAGTCCTTAGACCACGAACATTCATTTAACTAGTTAATCTTGACTGTAAATAAATGAAATGTTGCATTATTACTACTAGTTTCCTGGTCATTTTTCTGTTATTGTCTTGGATAAGGGTAAATTAAATCAATTAAGTCTCACTCATCAGAAATGAACTTCTAGCAGTCGTAAGATCCATCGAGCATTACCACACACACTTTCCTATTTAGTTCCTAGTTAGCACCGACCGTTGTGCCTTGCAGTGACTTTTAAATTTCGAAAACCCAGATGACCAAGGCTCATCACTGGTAGGGTATTGGACGTTTCACCTTCGTCTTCCCGCGACAAAAAAAATTACGTAGATTCCCACGTGGGGTATATTTGTACCCTATGATAAAAAAGATACTTCTGATAATTAAACATGTTTTTATTTATACTAAACAGTTATAATTTATAAAATCAACCTACAACAAGAGTACAGTTAGCGAAAAAAAAAATAGTTAGGAAATGGTATTTTCGACCATTGCGGCCATGTTGCCATTTATAAATCAGATTTCCGCCTTCTACTTCCCGTAAACTTTCGTTCTCTTTCTGCTCCACAGATACTTCTTGACCAGCTTTATTATCGGGATTTCTAAGTTTTGCAGGTTGGAAATCTATTTACATCCTGCAAATTTCCTGCAAGGTGACTACTTGATAGAGTAGCCACAGATTCCCATGTGGGGTACGTCATTGGGAACATGTGCCCCACGCTATGCAAAAATTATTATTTCCAAAAAACAAATAAATAGAAAATGCTTGATGATCACCAATTATGTACAAAGCCCTTACTGACACAAAATAAAATCAGTCACAAAAAATACGCAGTTTTTGGGAAAATATGCTAGAAAAATTGTTTTCTAAGGTACATCCGTACCCCAACCGGGAAGACGCAGGTTAATCAGCCAGTGGCAATGGATTATAAATTATTACTAGATATTAAACAATAACAATGAATATGAGATTTATGGATAAACCGCGAATTGCAACAAATGCAAGAAATCGAGAAAATTATCAACGACTGGTTTCAATTCGAGATATTAAATAGAAAAATTGTAATAATAGTATATTTAACAAGACAATTTTGGCACGTTACACCTATTATTTTTACGTTGGTTGCAAACGTACTTTCAATTTCCAGAGATTTTCAATATCAGCATTAATTTCAACGTGAATTAAATCTGGCCAATACCTTTTTGGCAGCTGATCTGAATTATTTCTTTAGAACTCGAGTATTGCCAGAGTACGTTGTGGAATTACACCGTTCAAAGGAAATTCGCCAAGACAAAAATATCTTTAGAGCTTTTATTTTGTTTCAACAGTGAACCGAACTATAGCGCTAGCGTCGGGACGCGGAGCATCGTGGCGCGAGCGTCCAATTAGTGAGTGCAATAGGCCGGACGCTCGCCGCCTCGAGGTGCAAAGGGAAGGCACGTGGGTGGTCACGTGCGGTGGTGACAACATTTGTTTATATGGTGCGATTACAGACCGGATTCGAACTCGAGTGATGACCGATTGAAGTTTATGGTAAAGGTGGAAGTGCGCCCTCGAATTAATCATGAAATCGTGTTTTGATTTGTTTGTTTGTTGCTGAGATTTGCTGGGTACCTATTATTACCTAGCTTTCGAGTTTGTTAATGTTTCAGGTCTACTCATAATTTTATTATGGAATCGAAATATTTAAACATAACTTTTTGATGATTTATGTGGTTATAATGCCTCTTTCTCCGATTTGCATTCTATTCTGAGATAGAAATGATGCGGATATCGAAAATTTGGCAAATAAATCATCAAAAAATATAGTAGTTAAACACGCGAAATTTGAAATTAATATTTTTCAAATGTTTTAAAACTGTCAGTAGTAGAATAAAGAACATGAAAAAATTAAAATAAAAAAATAAATAACAAAATTGATGACGTGGTTGAATACCTAATATCATATTCTAGAGTGACACTAATTCGCAACTTGTGATAAATACTTATGTTTTCTATTGAATTTAGGATTGCCGAATTTTCATTTTTCATTACTTATCCAAAAGTCAAATTTAAAAATGTTAAGTAATTTTTTTCCATTGAAAATATAATCAAGTGCCAGAATGTAAAAACCCCTATATGTCACCACAGATGTTTCTATATTTCTTTGGAATTTTTCTTCAATCTCTACACCGACTTGTTGATTCTAGTATCTATGACCTTAAAACCTGATTGAGACATAACAATTTTGTCTTATACCTATGTATTCTTATTCTCTGATTAGTGATCGACTATTTTATATAATTCTATTGACTTTGTTTATCCAATTTTCATGTATTAACTATCTCATATAGGTAATAATTATTCTCACTAGCATTTATTCTCCATCATCGAATTCCGAAAATTGGTTCAGTCAACAAAATTCGTATTTTGTTGGGCAACTTCGACCTGATTCCTCCATAACAATAATTGTTTAATCTACCCACCCGCTGAGAAAAAAAAAAACTTAAAAGCGCGAATCCAGAACAGAACAACTTGTTTAAAAACTAATTTATTTTTAGATCCTACTAGACAAATTATATTGCCTCCGCTATAAGTTACCTACTGGCTCACAACCGTCCGTGATACCTAATTTTAACAAATTTTCGCTACATTATTTTTAACGTAAATCTCAGCAACACAATCAAACATTTCTATTGTTTAGCAATAATAATGTCTGAAGAATTCCCGTGTACCAAGTGCATATTTAAACAAACTACTAGCCTAGAAAAATTTCACAAAAAGTTCCCATGATAATGTTCAATCAAATCACCGATCATTATGACAAACTCGTCGAACGACAACCCTCGAACACCTGAAGATCTCAGAAACCAAAATGTTGGATATCTTCAGAGGACTGAAATCCCTTCTACGTGTCAGTGCTATACATATCGATTCGCCAGTGTTTCGTCTACATTATTCGATAACAGTATCTATATTGATTGCGTTTTCGTTGATTGTGACTACGCGGCAGTACGTAGGTAACCCAATAGACTGTATCCATACAAAGGAAATTCCAGAAGATGTGTTTAATACGTTTTGTTGGATTCATTCGACGTTCACGGTGTCTACGAATAAACAGGAACCGTATGCGAGAATGTATTTGCCAGGCAGTCCTGGAATAAGGACCACGTATGACGAGAAGGAAAAGAAAGTGTATAAGTATTATCAGTGGGTCAGCTTTTGTTTGTTTTTTCAAGTGAGTATTTATTTGTGTATTATCATTATCAATGTGTGTTGATTCTTTTTTTCGAAATTAAGAAAATATAGAACCTACGAAAGTCAGGTTTATCGAATTGTCGACTTTTCGCGAAATTCATTGGCAAACACAGGGTAGACTTTTTTGTTCGTATCTTTAGAAAGAATATTCTAGAAAACCTTTCCAATATTAAATTTTATGGAATAGGTACTCTAAAAAAAAAGATTTCCTTCGTTTTACCCATTGGAAAATCATTTACCATGAATGTACTCAATCATGGATTTTTTGCTCTCCATGTGTTTTCACAAAATTCCAATTCCAAATGTCTTCCCCAAAAACTTAAATCAAATTTACTAGATTGATTGGCCGCAGTTGTATAAAAAAGATGTTTTCTGGAGAATGCAGTGGTAACTTTTTTGATAGTGATGAAATAGCAGAATTATGTTTTAAACGTTCAAGGGGAAAGAAGATTGTGTTATAAAAACGGCTAGGGATTTGCCCCGATTAATTTTACTAAAAGGCTTTGTCGAAAATATGCTATTTATATGTATTATTTCAACAATAATGGTTTGAAATAAAGTTATGATTGCAGAGGATTAAGTGTAATGTAACAGCTTCTGCATTGCTGATTACTTTAGTAAATTTGATGCTTTTTAATACATATGTATATGTAAAATAAGACAATCAAATTTTTAAATTTTATGGTTTTAATGCCCAGTTAGTCTAAGTAACCAAAATATATTCCATTGTCAAGATTTTTTTTCACAAACTGGGGTTCTAAAAAGAACGATTTGTAGACATGCAGATCAACCTGTCTCGAGCGTATGGAATACGGAAGCAAATTGACCTTACAAAATTCACTAATCACTATTTGCGCGATCACTTAAGTTTATACAGCAATTATTATATTTGAGCAAAGCGCTTTTTATACAAAACCATTCAATCGAGAAATCTATAGAATTCAAGTAAATGTTTGTTTATTTGAATCTTCTTCTTCAAGTCCTCTACGAACGTTGGCAATCATCAGCGCTATCTGTACTTTGTCGACTACTACTCCAAATAGACTTTAGCCATACCAGTGACGCAAATTCTTTAGCCAAAATATTCTTCGACGTCCAGTGCCTCTTCTGCCTTTGACTTTTCCCTCGATTATGAGAAGTAGGTATTCATCATTTCTGAGTATGTGTCCGAAGTACTCTTAACTTTAACTTTTAGGCGTAAACATAAATTCAAGATCTTTTGACATTCTCGTTAGCACATCTGTTTATATGTCCACATTTTTAAAGCCTCTACCTTATCACACATGGCGTCTGTCAGAGTCCATACGCCTCAATCCCATAATAGAGAATACTGAAGACGTAGCAACGTAGTACTCGAGTGCGAACGAAGAGCGAGAGACCTCGACTATACAAAGCGGAATGTATTTTAACAAATGATGCTCTGGCTTGTTGGATACTGGCACGATGAGTTTCGTGTCCCAGTTTCTATTAACCTGACATCCTAGGTTTTTGTATGATTGAACCTGTTGGTTCTGTACCTGCACCATCCATTTAGTTTTTTTAGCGTTCAAATATAATCCAAAATCTCCACTTTCAGTAGCCAAATAATCAAGTTATATTTGAAGATCTTCCCGAGAATTAGCGATTTAAACCGTATCGTCCGCATACCGAAGATAGTTAATGTTCACCCGTTGATAGAAATTTCCTCAGTGCAGTGTGGAGGTACAGGTATCGAGACGTGAGGGACCCGACTCCTCTAGGAAATCAAGTCAAAAACGCTATGCCCACGCTGCACGGAAACGGTGATCTTTAGGGCTTGTTTAAAATGGTTTTCTTGAGAGAAACGGCTCCTCGGAAAAACAGCTCCTCGGAAAAACAGCTCCTAGGAAAAACGGCTCTCCGGTCAACACTAAGTAATAGAGGGATTCCATGAACAACCATTACTTAAAAAAAATAAAAAGGACTTACCACGAGGGGGTTCGAAATTCAAACTCAAATAAAACGGTAATCACAAGACTTTCGATAATAAATTTTCAGTGATTAATGGATCATTGCCTTAGAACTTTATTTTGTTAAAATAGTGCCTCATGGCCGATAAGGTAGTTTTTACACGAGAACGGTAATCGATATTATATTTCACTAATGCTTTTTCAAATATGTTATTCGAATAAATATTAAAAAGTAATGGTGAAAGGATGCAACCCTGCCGGACACCTCTTTATATCCGTAGTTCGTCAGACATACTAGTCCAAGAAACGGGGATCTGAGAAGAGGGTTTACCTCAACATAATTAGAAGTTAACATTTTCTTGGGGAGATCGGTCCATTTTAATATGCTAAGTAACATATTAAGTTTGCGACCTTGTACTTTCATAGGGTTTTTAGTTAGGGATGGTTTTAAGGGGTAATTTGCGGTTTATGGAGAACCCTGCTCAAAGGGAAAGGGTAAAGGAAAAAAAATCCGCTGGAGCATTATGAGAGGAATAAATGGGCTGCCGATTGTCGGAAATTGTCACCAAATGTTTGGCCCCGTTTAGAAATCACAGTGAATGCAAGAAAGGGGTAGTTTTCGATGCAATTTACAACTTCCTCGCACATTAGGCAAGTCCGTGCTCGCTTAATTTTCAAGCAAAAAATTCGAACAAGAAAGCGTTGGAGAGTTCAAGTCGGATCACGCATTCGGCCGCTGCTGCATCAAATGCGCGCAAACAGGCGAAACGTTGATTCAGTGACCTTGAACAAAAACATGCTACTATTCAAGACGCTGCAGAAAAAAAAAACTATAGAAGATAGAGGGGTGCTGTCGCTGCTCCAACTACAACAATCATTTGAAACTTTTTGTTATTGGACTATCCCTTTGAGCAGCGTTCCCTACATAAAAACCCTAAGAAATACAAGGTCACAAACTTAATATGTTATTTAGCACATGAAAATGGATCGATCCCCTCCAAAAAATGTTAACTTCTAATTATGTTGAGGTAAACTTCCTTCATTGCTTGGCCTATACTTTGATTTGTGAAGTATGATTCCAGTAGAGATTTACGATTATCTTGATATCTCTATCATCTAGGCCTACATCCTTGAGAATTTTCATAAGCTTCTCATGTTGTACCCTGTCAAACGCTTTCTCATAGTCTACGAAGCATGCATATACAGGAACAGAAACATCTCTACATCTTTAAACTGGGTCACCGTCAATTCGTCTTAAATCAATCTGTCGTACGGCAATTTAGCGTACGTCACTTCATCGTAAAGTCAATTCGTAGTATACGTCAATTCGTCGTAAAGTCAATTTGTCGTATACCTACGTCAATTTGTCGTAAAGTAACGTCGACTAGTTCGTATTGGAGGTAAATTGGGTAGTCAATCTCTGTCGTTAATAGAGCAAGTGAATCTTATGCATCACTGACATTATCAAACTTACCGATAATAACCCGGTTAGTTTGGGTTAGATTAAAATTGCTTACTAGCCCAAACTAACCGGGTTATTAGCGGTAAGTTTGGTAATCTCTGATTAAGCAGAAAAAGTGCAAAGTTATACATTTTAACATTATACCTGAAATACGATAAATTAATAATGCGACGAATCGACGTATACGACAAATTACCGTTCTAATAGTTTGCAATTTAAATCAGTCGTTATTAAACGTATGTATCGATAACAACCGTTAGTATCGAAAAAGTATGAATTTATACATTTAAACATTTTAACATTATACCTGAAATACGACGAATTACCTTTACGACGAATTAACGATACGACGAATAGACATATACAACGAATTAACGCTACAACGAAATGACGTATACGACAAATTGACTTACGAAGAATTGACATAGACCTTTGAACTAGCACTTAGATGCTAAAAAAGGCATCCCTTGTGACAAAACCGTTACGAAAACCAAGTTGGGATTCGCCTGTGAAAGACTCGCACTTTGCGTATATTCTTTCATGGATGAATAATCCTGAGACAGTGGCTCATCGAGCTAATAAGGCGGTAATCGCTACATCTTTTAACAGAGCTTTTCTTCGGAAGCGTCACACAATGAAATTTTCGAATTTTCGCCCTCTATCGTTCCACAGCACGATAGCTTTATTGTAATTACGTTTTCTGAGCTTCGGGGCACTGGTGAACAGATTTAATATGAGTCTGTATGCAGTGATGAATACTGCGTCCCTTACGCTCACTACATTCAAGAAATCTTTTTTTTTTCTTATACAAATATCTGTTCATCAAACTATCCATCTCCCCCACGTGGAGCTCCAAAATCATTTCATCGGAAGCCTTCGTCTTATTCTCTTCCTCGTTGGTTCATTGGATCTTGCTTGCTTTTGGGTCTATTGGTATCCTTTTTTTCTACAAGTTACTCTACAATGACTTCTTTCTATGCTCAATCCATTTAGAAACTTGCATTGTCCCCTGTCTTCTTGAATGTTGCCGTGCACCCAGCGTAGGCATTATCCATGTTTCTACTGTGCTTGTTGCTTTTATTGGCCTGGTGTCGCTTCGTGGAAGTATAATATAAGTTGAGACGGGTCCTATTTCCGCTTTAAATGGACTTTATTTAATTTCGGTTTTAAGATTAGGATTAAATCGATCTACTCACGAATTGACCAAAGGGAATATTTTCATACACTTATAAATTGAATGTATATGGTGGAGTGTGTAGATATAAATAATGAAAATGGCTTATTACTGACTAAAAATCCGATAGTGGAATAGTATCATGAATGTCATGAAGAAGGTGAAACATGAAAATTTAGTCTACGTGAAATACCATGATTATGATACATATGAACGAAATGATTTTTTTAGATGGTCCGGATACGGGAGATTTAATCAATTATACGAAGCCGAAGGCTGATCTTTCTATCTTATCATTGAATATTTTTAGTATTAGAAATAATTGGAATTTTCAATTTTTTTGGATGTAGTTGAATTGCCCCACATTGTCTGTTTGACTGAGCATTGCTTGAAGCCACAAGAACCCTTGGTACTTT